TCTTATTTGAATTGAATTAATTATAATCAGTTTAATTTAATTTGGTCCAATTGACAGGCACATTTTCCTTTTGAAATCGCTGTATAATAATTGCCCGGCATATGTATTTATAATAAATGGATTTAGTTGAGTAGCCAGCCAAGATCACCGGCTATTAACTCTATTAGATCTTTGAGCTCGGAATAACTTGAGATTTAAAGTTTGCGTATCAAATTACATTAATTATTTACAAGACAGGAAACACCAGCAAATAGCAAAATGTGCTCCAAAGATATTCCAACATGTAGGAAAGGAAATAATTTATTGTATATTGACATCACATTTTATAAGTACTAATTAATTTAATTACATTCGTTATACTAATTGATGATACTCTCGTTGATAGAGCGAAAAACATTATTCAATTCACCTATTCGGGTGAACCTTTCCATGTTTTTCTGTGAATCTACTCAGGCAGTTCATACATACATGATTACACAAAAATGGTATAACTTATTTGGAAACGTTGTCCACATCTTTGATTACTTTGTTCAGCCGCAAAACCACTTCTGCGGGCTTCTATAAAAAAGATAATTCTTTTTAAGATTCTAAAGATCAACTTTTGAAAGACTCAGACTCAGACAAAAAAAATGTCAGTTAGTTTTTAGTAACAAGTTTTGTTTTGCCACCATCTGCGCGCCACAACAAACAATCTTGGTAATTTTATATATTTCTGATGGTAGCTGGTAAAAAATAAAAAGTGGTAACAAGTCAACATTTTTTTCATAAGAAGGTTTGAACGCCTTCGTTACTTTAGAAAAAAAAATCGAATAAAAAATCCTAATTTTTATCAAATAAACATCAGACTATGGAAGAGAACGCAGAATTACATTTACTTCTACCAGCAATTAACTTCACTTATTGCCAGTTGCTAACCAAGGCTGAATTTGTAATTTGTAATATATGCATAAAATACTTCTTACTTCAAATGTTTACTGAAATGTTTATATTATCATTTTTGTGTCCAGAAAAATCGGTAATTTTTCTACATTAAGTTAACATTCGATAGTTAGCTTTGCTTTACGCATTGGATAACAACATCTCGAAACTGGTAAAAGTTTGCTTTTTCAAAGAAATATAGCCGCATCACGTTTTCACTGTAATTCTAAATATTTCCCACAGCATTATTAAAGGCACGAAACTTGCGCTGGTTGGCAAATTCTGAAGCATTTTCAGACAAAAGTTTTTTAGTTTCTTCAGCAACAACAAACCCATATTACAAATTTTTATCTTAACCTTTTTTTCAGCCTTTCAGTGTGTCTGTGCTGGCCTTAGCAGACTATAAAACGCTGAAACGCTCGAAGGCTGAATTGTTATTTCTTCAAACTCCTTGATCTTTGTCCCATATGCATTATGTTACAACCATTACATATTATATCATAATTTATTGGCGAGTTTGGTTTGTCTACTATATATTTTCAATTTTTTGGTAACATTTATTTTATGGCATTTCGAACTTTCACTTCAATTGAATTTTTTCCTGTTCAAAAATAAACATCAATACAATAACTTTAGAGTATTTAGTAAGTAGTAGTTAGTAAGAGCACACTTACTTCTGTTGATACGGATTTTTCTAGTTGCTTTTTTAAACTCAGGAATATTTGGTCTTTTGGTGGATTTTGAAAATTCGCTTAGGTTCTGTGAAACAGTGTAGATAAGCACTTGACAATGACAAAATTTTAGTTCGAAATTTGACTTCTCAGGCGTATTACGTAAGCTTTCAACTAAGAGCTTTCAGGTCGCTTCGAACCATGAGACGTTTTTTTTTATGGCGTTGTCTTTAGCAATTAAGAGGTATTTCATAGCTTGTTTAAAAGAACATTTGAAAGTTAAGATGATTTGCAAGTAGTTTTCTATAATAAAATATTATATTTAAAACATATAAAATATACCTTAAGAATATAATTTTGAAACACTGGCACCTCTTCTGAAATACCAACGTTTTCCTTAGTCATAAAGTTTCTGATCATTTAAAAGTGGTGCATGGAATTTAAACCTGAAGCTAATAGAGGTTGGGCAACTGAGATTGGTAATAATAACGCTATCAAAGTTGGCAAGAGGCATTCCCTTTACGGTATCTATGTAGCAAACTTAAACTATCACGATTATAAGGTAGCTTCATGTGACGGAAATATCATGGTTTTGCTTTCTAAGAGAAGAAAGAAGTAGAATGATTCTATGAAATAAATGTGATTTATACTAAATGTAATTTTTTTAGTTGAACTTTGTTTAAATCGCCGACACTGCGATGCACCAAAAGGTCGACTGCTGCAATACCTCACGATCATGCCATATTACAATACGCGACAGTTTCATTCTGCATGATCTCAAGCTGATCCTTTGGTTTGGATCTGACAGAGATTGGCCCAAATTTATGTACATGTTTTTGAATTAAATATCTTGCACGGTTCTGCTGAATCATGATTGTTGGAAGCACTGAAACCCTGATGTAGTTTTAATGCAATTATATTTAATATGAATTTTCTTTATACCTGATTATGTGAATAAATATTTTTTCAACCTCACAACCTATGTGATGAATATTATGCAGAATAAAACTGGAGTGGGTTACGGGCTTTTAGGCTAGCGTGGAAAACAATTTCGGCCTAAGCAAGCACGCCTGACTTGCATTTTCTGAGGTGTTTTTGCTTGAAAGCTTACACTGAACTGATGATCATCACATTAGCCAGAAATCACTTTCGACGTCGACCTATTAAGGCCGCCAAAACTTAACTCTTTTGATATTATTCAAGATGTTTGGAAGTTGAATTTCATAAACCATCATAAACTAAAATTTGTTTTAACAAAGATGTTATACTAAATGTAATTAAAATTATATTTGTTTGGTGTAATCTTGTTTGAATTTGCCAAAAAAAGTTTCCTCGGATTGTGGTAATGTGTGAAGCCAATCTAAAATGTATCGAGACCACCAATAACATACATATAAAATTACATCTATGGGTAAAAATAATATATATCAAATGGGCATCTAGGGAGTGATTCAAGTTTAAAATTCTACATAAACAATAAAATTTTGCAAATTATGTAGCCTGTGATAGAATAGTTAAGGTTCTTTAAATGTTTGTGTAAAGGCGCTTTATTGTAAAAAGCATTAATTCAGAACAGTTAAATGCCGCAGAATTGTAAGTAGTTCAACAAATGTGTGATTTCAGGTTGAGTGAAAGTATTTTCTGGCTTCAACTTTATAATATTTAGCAGATATACCTAGTTCATAACTCTGCCAAATTGTGTTCGTTTTTAATATGCTTGTATTTTAAAATTTGTGCTATACTAGAAATCTATTTTGTAAACGTTTTAGACAAACAGAGAGAAAAACTTTCTGATAACTGAACTTTAAAGAAAATATGTTTTGCGATAGTCAGTCTTAAAACGTATTTCAGATTATTAAATATTATCTATGGGCAGAAACTAGTGTCTTGTGTATGCAAAATATTATCTATTACACTTTATTGCAGTTCGAGTTACTTAACATGTTTTCAATTTCGGATGACAACATTTTACTATACGAGTCAGTATGACATTCATATCATTGAATATTACATTTTTGCTAAGGGGTTTTAGACAAACACTATTTTGTACAATTAAGTGTCGGAGTCTATGGAAATTTAACAAAAATCATTTGACACCAAGACTGGCAATTTTTTTGCTCATTGCAATGTATTACTTTTTTAAAATTGGAAAGCGGTGTTATATTCCGGTGGTATTATACCTTCTGAAACATTTTCCGGAAAAAGTGCTCATCAGACATCGAGTTTAGTATGCACGTAGATTCTTAATTAAATTATACATAGCAATTTTTAATTTGAATTGACTTTTCATCCTTCTTTAAGTTACGTGATAATTTGATTGACTGTAATACACAATACAAGACGCTAATGCGCAATTTGACAACAAAATAATGCCCCCAACACTTCTGGAGCAAATGAACATATTTTCTACAACTTTTACCTTATTTGCCTTATTATTAAATACTTGCTATGTATTGTCAACTACACTTTTTATATCTTATTTTGCGATGTATTGCAGATATTTAAAATATTTATATTGCAGAACCCAATGAATGAACTCAAAACAAAACCCAACCAGTTAATTTTAATGCATTTAATTGTAAACCGCCTTTTGGCTCAACTGTTACAGAAAGCAGCTTAATAACTCAACAGCCAATGTTAATCTGAAAACAATTTGAAACAGTTAAAGCTCAGGCAGGGCAACCTTTAATGGTCGCAGCATTTCACAATATATGTGGCTAAACGCATTATTAAATCGCCAATCTAAGAGATAAAATTAAAGAGATAACAACCGACCCATTTGGTTTAATCGCCGTAAATATGTTACTTCAACTCCTAACTGTAACGAACCCATTTAAAGAAACGCTTAATATTTCCCTTGATCTACGTGGGACTGGTATCTGGAACTTTGTTTTCAACATAATCGAATGAGAGTTATTTTCTCCAAACCGTGACTGAGTTTAATTTCGTCAATTAGTTGCAGGTTTAATGATTTTGAGACCATACATGATTTAATAATCATGGTTCGTTTAGTGTCCAAGTTGAGATGCTCAATAATGAAGAAGTTTCGGATCAAGCAAGCATGGAGAGGAATAGCTTCACAAGCCAGCCTTTAAATTTAGAGTATCATTAATGCATCTTATCGTAGGATAAATTAGCCATCTACATTCTTTACCTACCATTGTCTGGTGTTTGTTTGTGTACCTACGGATGTAAAGCATGTCTGTGTATACACGTAAAATCTCAAGGAAAGTCTGGTGTCTCGATCGCAGCACTCAACGTGTCGTAAACCGTGTACAAGAGGGCAGATGTTAATTTTGTTGGCGGCAGTGCGTGAGAATTGATTTTAAATTACTTTACAGAAACAAAAGGATGGTATAATGACATGGGAAGGGCTGTTTTTAAGTGTATTTATTGACGTGATTTGTCATATATTACGTTGACACGACTACCCACTCATTCCGCTTGCAAACAGGATTACTCTTTAAAAAACGATAAATGGAAAACCGGGTTGTGGTGATGTTGTGGGCTCAAAACTATTTAATTAAGACACTTAACAGAAAGAAGGTGAATATTCAGTCATCGTCACAAACGGCAATAGTGGCCATTGTTGCGTTAAGCAAAATTACTTTGAAAAGTAGTCCAACTGACTCCTCATGTATTTTACAAAACCGGAGTATGATTCTTTCTTTCTAGAAACCGCCACAGAACCAAGCAGCGCGTGGTTTAATACTTCGGGAGTGCTCAACAGGAAATAAGAGTTATTTATTGCCACGTCCAAAAATCGCCAAAATTTAAGGGCATGATTAGGAGCTTTAAAATTAAGTATCTCACCTCTGAGCACCGTAATTACAATGTATCGCAGTCTTTCTATTGCACAAACACATTTTGTATTGATAGTATATGTGGCTGTTCTTTACTGCCATAAATTATTCAAAGATCAATTCAGTAAGCTTTGCAATTTGTCTACTCGTGGACTCTTTATTAATAGTTGACATTTCAAGAGCATTATATACCTCAGTATATTATACTTCTTTTTGTAAGAAGAAGATAAAGATATTGTAGAGAAACAACGCTTCAACAATAATACAACTGGAAAACTCCAGTTGTATAAGGCATCGTAAAATTGCTCGCAGCACTAAGATTGTATTTGAGAAATATTGCAATTTATTTTCAATCACAAGTTCAGTATGTGAACTGCTCCAGAAACTTGGCTAAAATCTGGTCTTTTGTATATTAAATCAAATTCTGTATTTCGTTTGTTTTTTTCAAATAGAAGATTTTCACTTTTAATCATGAGTAAGTGTGCACATTTCAAATGTTTTGTGAAGCAAATATGGTTTGCTGTTTATTAAAAAAAAAAATTCTTCTCAGAAGATGACAATGGTCATAGAAAATTAATGTGATCCCATCTGAACAGGTGAGTATTGCAAACATTACTAATAAGATTCAAACCAAATTGGAATCAAAGGAAACTCATGTTATGAAGTATAGGTGAGTAGTTCTATAATAAATTGTATATTTATGTGATAAAACTCACGTAATGATTAAAAAGTACTTACTCATTTACGAGTCAACGTAGACCCTTAAGTATATTATTGCTGATGAAACCCAATTGAGAAACTACTACTTATTTGAAACTAGTTTCTTCTCATCTGATTAGAGTGACGAATTGATCGCTCCACGAGCAAAATATATCTTTTCTTATTACGTTTCTGTTTGAATTTCGTAGTTTTTGATTTATGACATAAGCATACTCATTTGTGTGGTATGAGCGTGTGTGCTAAGATGAAAGGAATGCTGTGGAGGAGGCTTAGCGGTTAACAGAGTGCTGTGTATATTGTTTGAGAGAGTTATAAAGTGTGCTGTAATGTATGCAAGTGAAATCTGGGGTGAGAAGGCAATGAATTCGAGAGTGAAGAGGCAGCTGCATGCGACTCACAGATTGATGCTGTTGGGTATGGGACGGTGCTATCGGACCACCTTCACTAAGGCTCTGCAGGTGCTCTGCGCATCAACCCAGGTGTTGCTGGAGTGTTTCTGTATGTGGAAATTTACAGAGGAATTTGGAATGCATGTGAGAGCAGGTCGGGAGAGGGAGTCCTCGATGGTTGTTCTGTATAGGCGTTTGGAGCAACTTTTGGCAGTAGACCTCAACGTTACTGAAGGGATTGGAAAGTTTGGTGTGATGCGGCTGTGAAAGGAGGCAAGGTAGTGTAGTAGTAGTGTATTTTGGATGTGTGTGGTTGTGGTGCGAGATGAGGAATGGGTTGAATGGGGAGGAAAATGTGTGGCACAAATGGCGACTGTGGCCATGGTCAAGCCTCTTCAAATGCTATTGTTTCGGGCGGTGCGGGGTGAAAGGGCGCTAGTCTTCATAGATTCTGGGGAGGCCATCGAAAGTTTGGAGAATTGCAACACCATTTAGGCATTAGCTGTACAGGTGCACGGTTTCATCCACAATCTAAAAGACATGGGGGTGAAGATCGGAATTCTCTGGGAGACCCTCAGGGGTACTTGGGGTAGCGCGCTAGAGGACGATTTGGCGAGGAGGGCTCTCTGGGGTGTGCCAAAGGGTAAAGTGGAAATCCTTAGAACAAAGGCTTTTGTTCGAAATCGCAGGAAGGCCTCATGGACCTACCTGCAGTGTGTGTGAGCGTGTGGGAAAGGGGCTGTTGGGTCTAGGAAAGAAGGCAATGCAGCTGGCTACTGGGCATGGCAACATCCGCGCCTCTCACCATAGGTTTGGGTTGAGGAGCTGCGGAGAGTGTGAATGCGGCCATGGCGCGGAGACGGCTCAGTATACCATGGTGGATCTCCCTCCGGATGGGGGCTTTGGAATGATACTTGAGAGGGAAAAACGGAAAGGGTGACCGGGGTGTCCTGGACTCATTTGTGAGATTTGCCGATCTGGTGGCCTTTGACAAAGACTGGGACGCGACGTGAAGGGCCATGGAAATAGAAGGGGGTGGAAGTGCTGGTTACGGTCGAAATGTTTCTAGTTGCGAGTGTATATCTTCTATTTAGGGGCGCTGTTTAAGTTTGCTAAAGTTGCCCACAGAACAAAGTGAACGCATATGTACGTGGTCATCAAGCCCCAGTATGGCTTTTAGTTTTCTTCTGGGGTTTAGGGTAGGATTAACGCTGTATCCAGCGGCTTAAGGAAATCTATTTAACTGACAGGCTGATTAAGGGAGACTTTTTCTGTTAATTTACTGGTTGTGTTTAATGTTATTAAACTTTTTAAATTTTAGTTGGAGCAAGCAATCAGCTTACCAAAAGAAACGATTTTTTCATGATTACACTGACTAACTTCAATAAGAACTAGAAACGAATTTCAATGACCTGGCGATATTTAAACTTCTGAAAAATAGTTAAATTGAAGAAAATAGCTGCGACGCATTCTAAAGTTAAAAGTTTTTGGCATGAAAAAAATCCGATTAGGCACTACTGTAGTGTTCTTTTTTAATACTTATTAATGCCGTTTTTTGGGGTTAAAACAATCTTATTTTGAATCAGTAAATCGTGCTTTATTGTTGATATAATGTTACATTTTTGAAAGTCAAAGTCTAAATATATGCTTCTCGCTAATGGTAATTGTACCTGTTATTGACTTCAATGATTGTTTATCGAAAGTCTAATGAGTCAACCTACTAAATGGGATTCAGTCAAATTATAGTAGGTATACTTAAGCGCTAATTTTTACTTTTTGCTACCAATTTCGGTTTTATTAGGTGGGGTTAACGTAGACATTATGTATCTCCCACATGAAATTATTCGTGCAGCAACTACGTGGTGCCTTTGATTGAAGGTTGACATTGCCTTAATTTGAACGGATTGGAATTTTTTTCCGAACTTTCTAATTGACTGTCGTCAGTGGCATTTTTTTTCTTAACTATAAATTTAGTCCCAAAGTTCCAAAGCTACCCGAGTTATATGGACTGTTTTTTTTTTCCTTTTATTGGGTTGATCATAATCTCATTCTCGATCGTATGTAATCCCTTTTTCAAATTAATTGCTTCGTAGACCACTTAACATTAATCCAAGTTTGAGATTTAGAATTAATCTTTAATTCTACGCAAAATGGTCATTAATCAATCTAGCGGGACACTAAATATTTCTTTTTAAAAGGGCTATCTTATTTACGAGCCGCGTCTCCGATAAATACACCCTAATAATTCTTTGAAAACCACACACTCAATTCTCTCCATTGTAATTCTTTCCGACATCAAGGGCCCACAGCGGGGGCCTACGCGACAAAAGGGCGGACGCCCCCCGCCGTACAACAATGAAGTCGAGTTTGGAACTTCGTTGTTCTATCGAGAACAAGAACACCCCTGTAAGTGGTAAACCTGTTTAGTAAAAGGTTTCAGACGTCTGTCAATGGTGTGCTTATTGTTAATAGTAAATAGAGACTGCATATTTCCTCAAATTTAAGTTCCGGAAGTTGAAAAATATTTTTTTTTTTAGTGTCACATAAACAAAGTTATTGGAAAAAGTGATCTTAGAAAGCAGATAGCGATTAACATTGCATTACTAAGTAGATCATCAATTTTTCGGCCGAAAACATGATGTTCAGGCATTATGTTGATAATTTTTCTCATAATACTCGGCAGCAAATAAAGATATCGCAAGAAAATTTTTCTGCTATTATTAAAGAAGCTGGATATTGGATGTTGGAATTTTTTAAATCAAAGTTTTAACCATGATAAATTGCATGAATTAAGTTTTAAACGAATTGAGATTTCATTCAGTTTTGACGAAGCAGAACCACTAGACGAGACATCGCAATTGTATAATTTTTTTGTTGATGGGGGTTTAGGCAATATTTAAGACTATTACTTTTCAAAAAAATTACGTCGTAAATTGTATGATGTATTTATATTTAATTAATGTATGCATTTCATTCGTTCTGTGCAATGGAAATTCAACATTGTTTTAATGAGTTTCTTCACACATGTTTATTTACACACACATCAACACACATGTTTATTTACACACACATCAACACACATGTTTATTTACGTGTAAATTACCAAAGAAAACAGGTGAAATTAAAAGGCAAATAGGAAAAGAGGCAAAAACTTCACTGTTTTAATCGGTTTTTCAAAACAATGCTTAAGCACCAATATTTCAATGCACATACTTATTACATTAGTTTTGCAGTCATTTATCAATATTCTCCAACAGGACCAGAGATAACAAGTCACTTCATAGAAAACTTTTGCAGTTTTATAACCTGTCATTCAATACTTACTGATTTTTCAATCTGAAAGCAGTCTTAATAAAGCATTTGCTCTGGGCACAAGTGTGCAAATTAAATAGAATGATAGGGAGAAGAGCTTATAAAGCCTTTCCTTCACTATTGTTTGATAATGTCTTCATCAAAAGTTCCAGGCCCGACGAAATCTGGGCGAAACATAGATTTTTCTTGATTGAGTTTTGATCATATGAAGCTGAAAAGGCCACCTCTAAAAGTAAAAATTAAACTTCTACTGGCAAAAAACTATAATTATCTCACTTAAAAGTCAGTCAAGCGTTATTCGCTTAACTGATTTAAATAAAAATAAAAGAAAAGCAGTATCCATCCAATACTTACTAATAGTATCTATATATTTTTAACATACATCTCATACTCCAGAACACCGATTATTAATAAATACCACAAAAAGAAAGTGTTCAATTTAGCCTGTTTTACAGTTTGCAAAACCTGTACTAAGAACTGTGCAATATTTAAAGCTACTACCGCCAATATCTTCGGAATTCGCTTTGGACTATTCGGAAACCTAATATGTTGTTAATAGTGAAAATATTACCAATTGAAATATCTAGGGACTGTGTCTAGATAGCTGCATATGACTAAATGATATACGAGTATAAGCAATTTGGGTGAAATAAGAATCTAATTTGCCAAAAAAAAATCCTAAATCAGCAACGAAAAAAAATTGGTGACGTAAATTGAATAGGTT